CATCTTTATAATGAGAAATGATCGATTTACAACAAGCATCGAGGGAACTGTATTTAATGAATAGTATAATAAAGAACAGTGGTGGAAGAAGTATTCAGATCTCCTACATTAATAAAAGTAGTAATACCACGCTGTGAAAATACTCCACTACAAGTATAAGCCATTACTTAAGTAAATCTTTACTTAAGTAAAGGTATGTAAGTATTATCAGCATAATGTTCTTATCAGAAGTAAAAGTACTGCTTCTGCTGTCAATGTCTTACTATTATATGTAATCTTCTTGGATTAATATTACTGCTGAATTAATGTGTATCTTACATTTCAGTGCTGTGGGTTGAGCTCAGTTTAATCTACAGCAACACACCATATTCTATAAAAATCATCATGTTTGTGGCATTGCTGTCCTGTGAGAACCACATATCTCTCTAAAAAGTTAACTTTTCATGAGCTCAGGAAAACAGCCCTGTTCTCAGCTTGTGACAATGCATTTTCCAGCTAATCCAAGAAGGGCTTTAAATAGTTTAATTAGCTTAAGAAGTAGGAGAATTTTCTCAGCCCATAAAGGAACACTTAATCCTTCAGTTTATCACAAACATTCAAATTTCAGATACATGGTTTTCACTGCACAGGAAGGGTATGGACCATTGTAATCTGGAAATTAACTAGAAACTAAAGCTATCAGTCAGATGAAGTTGAGTAAAAAGTACAATATTGGCCATTTAAAAGATGCATAAAAATACTTAGAGTATACCTTGAAACTGTGCTACTTAAATAAATGTGCTTAATTACATTAAACCACTGATACAGCGATTAGAATTGTCAATTATTTGCTGCAAGAAAATATAACATCATCAGATTCAAAACAGATATGAAACACCTTAATCTTTCTGTTTTACTTCTCTTCAAATCCACAGTTTCATATTGTCCAAATGTCTTCAGTGATATGTGTGTTGTGGAAGATTTTCAGAAAATGGGACGAGTAATCGCTTTATCTTAGGTTTTTGTAAAATGTTGTAGTCTCTCTTTTACACAGAATCTACTGAAATGACTAAATCACTGTGGAAGAGAGACTTGGCAGTTGAGGGTGACTGGAGAAAAAGTATTTTTCATAGACTTTTATAGACATGGATATTCAATATTAAGCAAATTGAATTCCTAGATCTCCCCAGTGTGTGCTACATGTAAGTTACACACTGCCTCCTTTGTACCATAGTTTTAGCCCTGTGATTAAACATTTTGGGGAGGGTATATCAGCAAAAATTAATTAAATGAACAGCACACCATAAATATTGACTCCCCTTTTCACATCAGTAGGGGATATTGGGCCCATTTAAATCTGAATTGAAACTTTTGTCAAGACTTTTTGTTATGGACAAATCTGAAGGGCTGCAAGATTGGATAAAGGAGGAAAAACCTTTTACTGCTCAAAATGACTCATGAATCCTTTTTTCAGATGTTCCTCTTTTTGTGAATTACAGTTTTACCTTTTCAGTCCTCTAAAATCGTTCAAATAAAACAGAAATCGCTTATTTAAAGGGCCAAAAAGGTTGGGAACCATACGACAATAGTCTGGTAATTCCTTAAGAGTTTTTCTTTTTTGGAGCAACAATAACCAACGCAGCGCTCTTCAGAAATCTTCCTCCACTTTATTGACTCTTCTCTTTAACCACTGCGCTCTGCTGCCAAGGCCCCCTGTTATTCATTTTGCCTCTCAACCCCAACTTCACTGATTTCTATTACTGTAAGCAAGTCTTTGTGCTTTGTAATCTAACAGATGGAAGTCTGTGGGCTGCAGATGTCTCAGCAAAGCTTAGTGTAACCCATGTTTCATCTATGATCTCACAATGATTGATGACTGCAAACGTTTAGTCTTTGTCATTGAGATTATCTTCCCCTAAATTCTCCATTCATTGCGATAGTGACAATTTTTTTCTGGCTGCCAAATGGCCCACTTTGTGCTGCCTCCCGGACCATGCACCATCTTTAACCCCCTCTACTCCTTTTCTTTACTTCTCCCCTCAGGGTCAAAAGGTCATAGATGTTCACTCGCAGCCCTGCTCAGGGTCAGCAGAGATCTCTCAGATCCTGCAGAAGCCCTAAAGACATCACAAAGAGCTGCAGTTAGCCCCACAGTTTGACCAGTCCCCCTCCTCCCCATCACCACAACCAGTGCAAGCCCCACTCTCAGACTGCATGCTTATCAAAGAGTTCATTCACACCCCTCAGTACAGTTTTAGACTCAGAGAGGAACATGGTGATTTACTGAACCTCGGTGCCACTCTAAGATTGCACAGCGTAAGGCTTAACTCAAAGAAAGATGCTTGGTTCCTCACCATCCCACTGACCACAGCCCAAAGCGGTGCCACACGCCCAGGTCTGCGTACCTGTGTGTTAAAAACAACACAGAGACCACCGCACTGACTCCAGGCAGTGCGCTCAACCTACGTCTCCTTGCCCAACACGTCATGCATAAATGACAAGCCAACGCAACAGCCTTTACTTGCAAGCTTTTTCACTCTTCCCCACAAATCCCTGAACATGGTGTACATGGAACGCAAAGCAAGCACTTTATGAATGTGCTTCTGTGTGCAGCTGTCGTGGGGCTCAAAAACACTTCAGTGTCTGGGTTTATGTTATTTTTTTAAAAATAAGTCTGTAAGAAAAACCCCTCTTCTTGGTACATTCAAGTTAAGTTCTGACGACTTTTTATGGCATCTATACCAGAGACATGTTCACTCAGAATCAGCTTTGATGTGCCGATCAAATGCTCCTTACAGATGTGCGATGAATATAACTAATGTCACTTTAACCTTGAAGTTTTCTCAACATTGGCTTTACCTCTTCATTATTTGGAGTCCTACAGACCACTGTACTATATGTGTAAAATTAATATTGATAATAATTGCAAAATCAACCAATTTCCTTTAATTTCTTGTCTTTTCTTTTGACCTTATCAAAACCAAATATAAGCAGCACATATTCCTTCATATGATAATACAGGCATGGCCATTAAACATTGTTATTACACAAAACAAGGACATTTTTCATATTTTATTTGTTGTATGGGATATGCATAAAAAAGCTGTTTTTGCCCAAACAATGATCACACAAGTATACCAGACATATGAAAATCCATTGTGTTTAACCTTGTTTTAAAGCTGAGGCTTAATGAGCAAAGTCATTTGGTATTGAGGCGATAACAAACAATACTAAATCTGTATTTTGAAAGGTTCCAGGGTATGGCACACTATCTGGCGGACAATGGGAAGGTCATATTGAGTCTCTGTGATTGATTCGGAGTGAATATAGCAGGATACCTGATTAGTAAATGGCTGCAAATCCTTGAACTCTCACATATATGAAAAAGTGAAAGAAGACTCACAGTAGATTTATATAGTATTTGAGTATCTACCGTCATGTCTTAAATCACAACAAGCACACAAAGAGCATTTATCTCAAAACCGTCATGGATGTTAGTCTCAATTGGATCATCAATAAATCGTTCAAAGAGAGGATGAGCCCACTGCTACTTTAATCCAATCCTCAAGTCGCTTATTGCTCTGCTTATTTGGGCACCTGTGTTCTGTAAATATCATTATCTCAACTGTATAATTAAGAGCCTAATTCCACACATCTACATCACTTGTGCATTGAAGCGGCGCTGTCAAAAAACTGCATTCCTGTCCTGTCTACTGTAATGTCTATGTCTGTTTGGAGGGGAGGGGGGGTTGGAGGGAGCAGGGAGTGTTTGGGGTCTGTTGTACAGTAATTGGGTGTAAAACAGGTGGCGCACTGTTGACACTGGAGAGAAGCATGTGAAAAATGTGCTGCTGCCATGCAATCACAAAAGGAAAAGGCTGGCAGTTGACTTAGACATTTAATCACTGTGTTGGGTGATAAGCAGAGGATCAAACGGAGGCACGAAAAGCCTAGAATAACAGGGAGAGCCACCTAAAGCTCCACAGAGGGATTCCTGGTGGAACTGGGCCAAGGCAGTGACAGAGCTGGTAGCTGGTTATCACACTGGCTTTGGGGTATAGAGGTATAAGCGAACAGGAAGCTGAGGATTCAGGAGCTCAGTGGGCTCTTAAAGACTGGATGAACAATTCTCTGTTACTGTTTCCTGGATTCATCACGTTCTTCCTCTCCATGTGGGACATTTCTTTTGTATTGGTCTAGTTTGGTTTCCACCAAAAGCCAGACCACATGATGGCATTATGATGGAATGATCACTGAGACCTCTTATTGATTCTAGTGTATATTTAAGCCAAAAAAACATTAAAAAAAACATCATCAATGTGCAGATGACAGCTACTTTGTGAGAGTCTGAACTGAATGTGCATCATTTGTAGACATAAGACACTTAATTTGTCATTGTAGGCTTACAATAAAATTTTGATTGGTAACTCTTAGTGACCAGCAGCAGCAATAAAAAACATGATAAATAAACAATGTAATAAATATGAATATGAAGAGGTAGTTCCTCCATCTTATTAAAGGATGGATGAGGCAGGTATACACTGACAGTGCAAATGGTCTACCAATGTAGTATAAAAACGTATAAAATATATTGCACAACAGTTACAACTGTTTATTAGTTTATTAAGTATTATGTGTGTTGTACTGTATTTGAATGATGGTGAACCAGTGGATAGCACAACACCTCTGACAGTGACATGCATATATGTATATAAGACTCTCAGATGTTTTTATCAAAACAAGAAAAGAGCTGAGTCTTCTTCAAAGGACCTGAGCTGAGCACTCCTGAAGAATAAGCCTGTTGTTCTGAAGTGATAAAGATGAGTTACTTGATACAGTTCATGTCTCCACAGAAAACTTCATGCATCACTTAAAATGTTAACAGACACACAATTTGCATTTTTTAAAAATCACATTTGGTGAATATATAGTGTCCACGGTTCTCTATAGATTATCCCCTGAGCGCACACCACTGATCAGGGATCCAGTTACCAACTTCGCCGACATCGGGCCACGTGACTCCGGTCCTCCTCATTTTAAAAAGAGCTGCTACCCTGCAATTCCCTCCAGAGCTTCAAAGACTTGGTGAATGCTTCCCCTGTGCCAGATGACCGACTTTCGCACCTTCTGCACCTTCTGTTTCAGAGGGACAACTACCAGAGAGCGCAGCGCGACAGAAAATTGACTTTGCCATCCTGTTGATGCTCCACTGAGTCCTTTGAGTAGCAATCACGTTTCTGTTCTGATAAGTTGGCGTGCGCAAAAGGGAGCCTAATCGGTATCTCCAGTCTTTGATCTGCTGGACAACGATGGACCACAGGAGCGCATTTCGCGCCTCCGTTTTACTGGCTTGTGTGATAATCTGCAGTAACGTGCTATGTCCCGTCGGTGCCTACCTCTACAACAACCGCTACGCAGGGTGAGTAAAGACCCCCATTCATTTCTGGGGCTCACTAGAGCCTGGCGTACTCTCATTCTGCAGGAAAGCGCACAGCAGAACAGAAGTTTGCTGCAGAGACTAACACACCAAGGGACGGGCTTTATATTTTGTTGAGAGTAGAGAATGAACCAAGAAAGTCTTTATGCTTGCCATCTTCTTCATCGTTTTGGGACATATTTCCTGTTTGAGTCATAATATAATGTTTTTAGTTTACCCTTGACTGATCCTGTTGTCTGATGGCATTTTGGATAAGAGTGTATCTGTTATGGTGTGCTGCAGAGAGGCATTCAGATTGCTCATGATAGGCACGGAATGACACTGGGGGGATGCTTGCAGCAACAGTGGCCTGTCAAATTGCTCAAAGTATTCATTTCAAAAATTATAGCTGTGAGATGGCAGCAACTCCCAGCGCTCTCAGTGTAGTGTGTTTGTATAATCACAAGAGATAACAAATTTGTCATAATAGTCATTTTTGTCAGAAGTCCTGGCATACCAGCTGTCTGCATGTTTATAAGGCTGAATGTGGTGTGCACACCTCTCCACCTAGACCCTAAAAAATACCTGTATTTGACCTTGGATCTGATGCTTGGGGAACAATAGTGACCACCTGGAGCTGCACACATATAGTAATTTGGGTAAACATATAGAAGGCATGACTGGCGTGTGTAAGGTTTTATAGTCTGTTTTTCAAAAGAGCTTTTGATGTAATTTAGCTGAGGCAGAGGGAGACCACCTCTGCTGGAAACCCCCTCCCCCTCTGTCTTAAACAACATATATTTTGGATACACTCCAAAAATTGTTTCACTCAGAAATCAGGGATGTGGTGGGCGTTGTTCTACTCAGCCTCACAATGAGCCTTTAGTCTTAAAAGAAGACAAAACGTGTCTTATCACTCATTAACAGAGCATCTTGACATTATTGAACACTGAAATGGAGAAATGATGATTGTCCTATATTGCAGTATCAAGACACTACTGAGAGTCAACGTCTTGGTTTAAGGGTCGTATCTTAAAAGCAAATTGCTTCCATCCCGGAGAGCGTACTGCTATGGGAATCAACAGACTGACAACTTAAGGACAGCTTTAGTTCAGAAAGCCCTGCAGCTGGTAGATACAAGGCAAAATGCCTTTGCCAGGCCAACACTGTAACAAAAACAGTCTGTCATCTTTGAGATTCTAAAAGATGAAGACATGGTTCAATTTGGGCTGCAGTAGAGCTCTGGGGTGCCACTTATTTTTCTCAGAGACTGTGGTGCTGTATGCACTGGTGAAAACAAAAAACAGAAGTCCTACTAATTTGGTATGGAAACACATATTTGTCTGATGTTTCAGACAGAGAGAAAATACAATAATAATAGAATATATTACAAGCTTGTTTTTTAGGTTCATGGTACTGACTGTCTTAGTTTTAATCCGTCTCTCCTATTTCTATCACATCCCAGCTATATTTTTACCTCCAAAAATGACTGACCGTCTGTTCGCTTTGAAGTCCATCTTCTGTCGCTGCTGTCACCATGGAAACGGGCTGTTTTTCGGCTGAGTGTTGTGGTCACTGAAATGGGGTGGCCACTCACGTGGGACACCCCGGACCCTTTTGTTCCCCAAACCTCAGAGTGGCCCACTGCCACCTTTGTTTCGGGGGGCCCAACTTCCTGTGTGACACATTGTAAAAAAGTCTTTGAAATAAGTGAAATGTTCGAGAGGAAGAAAGAGGTTTAAAAAAAGACATGAAAGTTCACAGGTAGACAGACAGGTAACTCGGCAGAGAAAGGGGGCCTATAATTAAGAGACTGTAATGAATTATTGTCAGCATGTAAGCTTTAAGGTCAACCCGGGAACTGTGATCTGCAGAGAAAAAGCAACACTATGATTCATGATGAGGATAAAGAGTGTCTTTGTTTTGTAGCTAGGCAATATAAAAGATGTGGTTTGCAGATTGAGTGAGAAAGGCTCTCAAGCTACTCTTACAGTTTTTGTTTCAATTATCTGCCAAGACCATTACGTAAAGAATAATATGACTGCATAATGGTTTTCATATTGAATTATAACTAATTTTACTAATGCATTCTCTTACAAACAAACTTTTTCTGCAGTTGACAAAGAAATTCTTGATGAAGAAAATTAAATTAAGTACTCAAGTTCAGCATTGTTTTTTAATCTGACCACAGACATTTAAACACAGTCTGCTGCAGCTTTATTTTAAACCACATCTCGTCCATGAATTTTGACTAAATAAACACTAATGGTCGACCAATCTATGGCTTTAACCAACCAAACACCTTCTGCGGTGTCTCAGCCTTCACGTTCCAGTTTTATATTCATGAATTATTTATTTTCTGTGTATAAACACCACACATTAACATAATAGGAAAAAACTATTTCAGCAGTCTGAGGTATGTTCCTGTTGCAGTGTCAAACACAATAAAGTAGCTGACTTCCTGATTACAATCATTTGTTTTATCCTCATAGAAAAAAGTTGAATGTTAGATTTATGAAATGTTTGCCAACTTTTGACACATAGACAGGAGTTTTTCCACATTTATCTACAGAACATATCAGTATATGCTTGATGTATTTACAGTATGAAAACGTGAAACAGCTGCTGCTACTGTATCTGCCGTAGAATAGTTCCAACCAGGTGCTACCTGCATAGCTGGAAACGATGAAATATAATCCTATAATGATGTCTCACACTGATTGTTTGACTGGTGTTTGACCCTGTTATCTATAGGATAGATGAACCACCCTATAAAAGAGGAACCACCCATTTCACCATCAAACATCTGCTATTATTTGTGTCACCTTCAATCAGCACAAAAGGAGGTTTCATTACCTGTGACTTCATGGCCCAAATGTTTTTGAAATGAAAATGGATCCAAGCCCTGTTGCAGTAAATTTTAGTACCGTAAAAACCCTTTGGGGCACTTTGATCCTGGTTGTAAGCCGACACTAAGAAGAGCTCTGTTGTTTTTGCAGTGATCAAGTCTTCAGGATAACTCCGAGCAGTGATGAGGAAGTCCAAGTGCTCAAGAAAATTCTGGGACATATGAAGGTTTGGGAACATTTTTGTCTTTTATTCACTTTTTTTATTGTTGTTAAAGTGTTTATTTCTTCCAGAAATGCCATATTAAAATGTAATATCTGTTATTATTCTGCTCACACCCGCCTATAGTCCCTCAGGGGTCTGTCCATGACACTTGAACAGCAGTCGCAGACAGAGTGAGGCGTGACGCTGGTGGTAAGGGAGGGTGATGTGACAGAGGGCTGGGGACAGCGATAGGGAAAACAGAGAGACAAGAAGCAGCCATGTGTGGTCATCTATCACAGTGAAGACATATTCCCTGTCTGAAAAACTGAGATACCGTTGATAGGATGCTCTGTATTCATTTCAGTGAGACAGCCATAGAGAAGAATGGCAGGAAAATACAAAACATTTCTTCAAAATGACGCTGAATGTTTGGAAACTGTATGAACATGTGTTTCAAAGATACTGGAATTAGGAGGGAAACCCTGGAGAACACAAAGGCCTCGCCTCTTTTCTCAAACTCATTTGGGAGCAATTACCCATCAGCCTCAGGAGTATGGATGACCTTCCCTTGCACATTGTTTTAGTTTGCAAATACACAGCAAATACTGTTTCTAAAGCATCATCAATAATAGATAGTCAGAGAACTACTTTGAATAACTGATTCAACTTAAAGTCTTTAATCCTCTGCAGATGAAAGGTGCATTTAGAGGAACTGTGCTTATGAAAGACCAAAGCATACTGGGATGTCAGTGATCATTTTTCAGTAATGACCAATGACTAATAGATCAAAGACAAAAAAAAAAAAACTCTGATTGCATACAAGTTTCTTAGTCAAAGATGTGATACTCATAGTCAATAAATCAATCTGTCTACTGGTGTTTTGAAGGCAGTCCTATAATGTATCTAATTTTGGAAACATTGTTTACAAAATATTTGAAAACCAGAAATGATTCAGGGATTTTATCTGTTAACCCCTTAAATTAAATACTAAATCATAAATACCCAATGAATAGTTCATATATTTTGACATAAGTTAGGTAAGTCACTCACTAGTATAGTAGTATTGATGCCTGGACATTAGTTCAGTCTGTACATCCTGTGGACAGGTAAGTTGACAAAAACATTTTAAATCAAGCTGATATCTCCATGCATAGATACCACCACTAGCAGGTAAATTGTAGCCCCATATGTCACAAAATCTGGACCAACTCTTATGTTGAAATATGCTTTTTGTCTGACAAAATAATCTCAACACAAAGCCAACCTACTAGCTATTTCAGCCCTTTCAACTGCTTGTCACCGTCTATTTTATCTTCTTACCATCTCACACTTTTACTGGTCTCTTTCTTAAGAACTTTCCTGGAGGGAACTATGCAATCTGTTACTGTTGTTTTAGTGAGAGTTTAGTTACTTAATTAGAGTTAATTATTCATAATTTAACAAAACAATGATAAAACACTGAATAACAAATATGAAAAATCAAATTAAAATATTTTGGAGACTTTCTTTGGGAGGGTTGTGGAGATTTTTAGCTCGGAATTTCTAAAATCCTGGCTGTGGCAGTGTTGCCCATTTCTTGAGTTTGGTTTGGTCAACTTGGGTTGTATTTGTGCAGCCAGATGCCTCATCAAGATATATGAAAGGCATCGGGTTCAGGTCATGCTTTCGTTTAGTGGTCCAGAACCAATACAGCTCTAAGCTGGGAAAGAACAGAAGAGGGCAAAAGAGGATTCAGTAAATGCTTATGATTTGTGGTGAGGGATAACAGGAGAGAGCCAGGTTGCTGGTCAGGACCTGGCCAGAGTTTTATGTATGTAAGGGCAGCGGACTCGGTGCTCCAAGGCCAACCGAGGCAGTGGCAGCTACTGTTTGGACAGCTGTGGACTTCAGTGTTTTCAGTAGCTTAGCCACACTGCCATGCCTCCAGTGCCAGAGTCAAACTTTTCAGCCTCAGGCTAGGCATGAGGTCAAATAATAAACAACTACTGTACACTACAGAATTCAAGAGAATCAAGAATCCCATCCATCATCAACAAAATATCATACCATGCCATTTAACTTATACCCGTGAAAGATTTCACCTCTGCTGTTCCAAGCACCTGGTGGTGGGCATGTCATTCCCAGGAATGGTAAATGGACCTGTACTTCTATAGTGCCTTTCTAGTCTTCCGACCACTCAAAGCGCTTTTACACTACGTGCCACATTCACCCTTTCACACACATTCACTCAGTCATGGCAAAGCCCATCGAACAGAAACTAACATTCATACACACACACACACCGATGCACGGCATCGGGAGCAATTTGGGGTTCAGTATCTTGCTCGCAACCCACAACCTTCCGATTAAGGAACGACCTGCTCTGCCTCTGAGCCACAGCCGCCCCAGGAAAAATCCTGTAGTAGACAAAAATCTGTGTGTTTTGCTTTATAGAAGCAGCCATTAAAGCTTAGGATGAATTGTTAGCAACCTAAATGGTAGATAGCATGAGCTGTGAACCATGATTGATCTGCATTTATAGTGAATACAAGTTTAAGGTCACCTTCACAGTCCTATTTGACTGGCAGGTGAACTCTGGGCAGCCTAGGAAAGAAACACAACAGCTCCCGATTGCACCCACTAGAGCAAATACCTTCAGCAAAGCTATGCATTTTCAAGATAAGATATTCCTTCATGTTGGGTTTTCACAAAAAGTTAATAATTACTTTAGTCTGTGCATTACCTCTTGAGCTCCTGGAGAAATTTTCTATGACTGTACCTAAAATGGAACATGAGATATGGTTGTTATTTCCAGCAGCTTGTAATCATTTTAGATCTGGTCTCACACATTTTGGAAAACAATCTAAAATCAATGACTCATTCTTTAAAATGGAGAAAAATGTGAATGCCAATTTCCTAAAACCCCAAGGTGAGAGCCTTAGATTGCTTCTTTTGTCTGACAAACACTCCAAAACCAAAAGATGTTCAGTTTATTATTACACAAGACAAAGAAAAGAAGCAAATTCTCACCATTAAGAAGCTGTAGTTAGGTGTTATGTTTGGTATTTTTGCTTCATTAATCGTCTATTACAATAGTTGCTCATTATTTTTTCTGTCGATCAACTTGAAGTAAATAGAAATCTCCATGTTGTTTGAGGGGAGCAGTGACACAGAATCAGTGACAGTGTTTTTCCTGAATCACAAACGTTTTGATTCCAGCACTGAATCTGTGAAACACATGTACTAATATTATAATAAAATCACCATGACTGCTGTCATTGCATCCTACAAATTATTCCATTATTTACTGTCTGTGGAGCAGTTTCCGCATTTGTCTATATGACATCATTATTACAGCCAGTTCTGCTGAGACAGGATGTTGTTTGTCTTGAGGAGAGACGTGTTACAATTCACATTTGAACCAAGCTATAAAATAGTTTAAGCATAAACGTTAAAGCTTTGCAAAGACATCTTACTTGATACATGACATTTTTCTGCAACGGCTTTTGCTGATCAGTTGATTTGATTCAGTTGTGATTGATTGAAAAACAAAGTGGAGAAGATATTTTATAACCAGCCTCTAACTTTGCTCAGACAGCGTTGTTAAAAGAATGCTTTGACATTTTTTGAAAATATGCCTCCTCTCTTGCTGACAGATAAATACAGAAAATACAAAGCTGGAGCCAGCAGCTGGTTAGCTTGAGGACTGGAAATGGGGGATTTAACTTCCCGGGGTCTCCGCTGCACGGCAGCATTGTATGTTGACAGCTGAACTTCAGGAAGTCACTGCGCTTGACCAAGAAATAATCCATCACATAAACCAACGATAACTTGTTGTTTTTGTACAGATTAAACAAACAAGATATTACTAAGAGTTAATCAGTGAGCTTCAGAGGTGTTAGTATGTGGGTTTCTTTACCTATGCACAGAGCCAGGCTAGCTGTTCCCTCCTGTTTCCAGTCTTTATGCTAAGCTAAGCTAACTGGCTGCTGTTTGTAGTTTCATATTTATCAATCTTTTCATCTACCTTTCAGCAGGAAAGTGAATAAGACTGATTGACTTTCAAGAAAACGTACAGTGGGTAGACTTATTTTGGTTATAATACACATTCACTTGCTAGACTTGTTTTCTTTTACTTGACATATAAACTGTCGGCTACAACTTCACCTCATCTGCCTTAAAGAAAGCCAGCTCTTTTTTATTGAACTATAACTTTTCCTTTCTTGTTCTGCCCATTCCAGTATTACATCAACCAAAACAACACAAATTCAATTTATAGCTCCTCTGTATACACAGACACACATAAGAATCACATAAAACAATCAGGAGACAAAAGATTTATAAAGCAGACGAAGAATGCATCTTTTAGGGCTCATAAATTCAACTATAAAATTTTAAATTGAGAGGATTGTTTGTGAGGAGTTGTGTTATCTGATCAGGGATATTTAAGTGCCTTTTAGGCGTATGTGTTTTGGAAGAGAAGAGCAGTGCTGACACATTTGTGGTACTTAACCATTTGGAAACGCCATAAAAGTGCAGCAGTAGAGAGCGGTTTCTACTCGAGGGCACCAAACATTCCAGCTAAGGATTTTCTACCCTTCTGGCTCTAAACAAAGTTAAATTAATCTGGTATGCATTCTGTAAACCATTAAACCAGTTGACACATTAACAAGCATGTGTGCCAGCCTGCATGTCTCTGCCACCATTTATACTATAGTATAAATGAAAGCCAGCTGAGGACATTCACACGTCTGCAAACACTGAATATACAGGATTCTTATTGCAGTGACTACTGTGTGTATCATTTGTAGATCAGAGCGTTCCTATTCACTTCAAAAAATTATCTTCTCTCCCTCTGTTATTTTATCAGTTACCACATGGTGTCTGTGTTTATATAGTAGCATAGCCGATGGGCAGTCCGTTTCGGCTAAAGCTAACAGACCTGACTATCGCGGCTTGATAACAGGCGCTGAAAGACAGGATTTTTGTTGCTAAGATGAAGTCAAACAGTAGAGAGGAAAGCAGTGGGAGAGTCATTTACTGCAGGTTGCTAATGGGACACATCAGAGTGTGTTTTGCTCCATTAACGCTGTAGAGTCATCCACATTCCCCTGATTTAGTTCATCGCTTGAAGGTAGAGACTAGAGGAATGTTAAACTGTGCAGGTCTTACCAAAACAATCTGGTGATCATCACCAAATGTTTGGTACTATTTTAAACACCCAGAGGGTAAGAAGATAAGGTCTTTTCTTGGAGTCAGTTCTTTTTCTGAAACCCTTTGGTTTAGCTGACATTGAGAGGGCAGATATAATGTAAGATTACACACATGTACAATATGAATGTCAATGGTGAGGTAGTTCAAGTCCAAAACTTTCCACTGTGGTTTTTGTTGTAAAGAGTAAAGGATGACAGTCTTCAGATACACCCATCTGATATGCTGGATCTGTATCCACAACAGTACGGACCTTGTTAAGTGGATCAGCCGAAGCACAACAGGTCCACATTAAATATAGCTTCTTGTCAATTTAAGTATAAAATTCATGATATGTACTCATGTTATAATTTAAAATGACCCTGGTGGAGAATTTTGTCTTTATCATCCACTCCTTCTCCTCATTATACAACCCTGCTGGGTGTTTGTGTCCCTGTAACCCCTGATCTAATATATTTGTCCTGTTCTTTATAGGTGGACTTCTGGCAGCCCAACAGTGCTACTCTAATCTGTCAAAACACCACCGTGGACATCCATGTGAAACGCAATGACACACGAGGTTTACATGCACGCTTAAAGCGGCAACATATTGATTATCGGTAAGACATGAGTCTACCACCAGCCATGAACACAGATACATACTGTATTACACATGCTTGCTTGCCTACACTCACACATTTGGTAATCCTGTTAGTATAGTTTCTATACCCCGAGACACATCTGTTATCCAAAGGCAGTTGCAATTACCCAGCTTTCCTCAGCTAGAATATATGATTTGCACATGCAGAGTCGGCCATAGTTTGCATGCAAAAGACCTCATACTTCCTCAAAGCTGGGACACACAAAAACACACACCCAGTACATCAGAGCCCCTCTCCCAATCTGTTCCCTTTCATCTCTCTACCCCATCCCTCATCAAAATTAACGCTGAAATGATGGAGGTTTATCAAAGCGGCCGCAGCTACACAGAATTCCATTGTCATCTCTGTCCTAAGGGAGGAATTGCAGATCTGAGGATGAGGTTTTTTTTTTTTTAACTCTGTGTTGATTGACTGAAAACGGTTTACACTGCAGGGGACTGTCTTTGGTAGGTGGTTGGGTTTTGAGGGAATGAGGCATCAACGATCTCATTTTACTCTCAGTAAAGAAATGCAGCTTTTTTAGTGTTATGGAGGTAGTTATGTATAGAGGTGTATGTATAAGAACCTTATGAAGGGTATTTTAGGAGAGTCGGGCAGCCCACATAGCTGCTATGAAAACAGATCACATCATCTGTTTTAGGTTGGAGTGGGAAGTGAAGAGGCGTAGGGTCTGATCAGACCAGAGAGCAGTCTATAAACAGATAATGATCATGATAATTGTGGTTTTGGATAATTTATAACACATTTATTTTACTGATAGACAGCAGTGGCATAACTAGGGTAATTTGTGCTGTCAAACAGGCTGAGTGGTGATGTAGAAAGAAGGGGATGAGTGAGAGCACTTGCATAATTGGTGTTAGGAATGAGTCAACAGTAAATCCAGAACCCCTGATCCACCACTTCATATCAGCCCTCAATACCTATCAGACATATTATAATATATATTATGTAAAAAGCGAAAGTCATGTTCTCATATCAAGTTAGAACTAATGTTGTGGGCAAAGTATAAAGACAGAAAGGACATTTTGCTTACACACTCAGAATGCAGTTTAAGTTTAATTTATAGAAATGTAATTACATCCACATCACAGGTCCAATCTGCAGACATTTTACATGTTATTTATAGGCTTGGTATAAGAGTACCAGTCTGTAGTGAACCAAATTCTCATTTGTAAGTTGTAACTAAAGGCTTGATTAATGATTGATGATTGATTAATCAGTTGTTTATTAATGAGAAAGAGTTAACTAAAATAATAAAATAAACTAGAGACTTGGATTACTGTACTGGAATTCTAATGATTAACTAACACATACAACAATGTCAGGCTATTATGACATGAGGCTATATATTATTGGCTCACTCACTCAGTTAAAAAGATACAGCAAGTGTTTATTACTGATCTTCAAAGCATTATTAAATCATTTATTGACCAGTAATAAACACAGTAGTTGCAACTTTTAAATCCCTTATTAGAAAGGCATACCAATAAATCTACAAAAGCAGAAATATTCAAAATTATAGTATTACTCTGGGAAACACCTGCTAGTCAATGACTGTACTCATGTGTCATAAGTTATTGTAAGGATGTTGCAGTGGTCATGTCTATCATCTGTCCGTCTCACTCCCTCTCCTCCATCTGCAGGGTGTTTATCTCCAATCTACAGAAGGAAATTGAAAAGCAGACGGGATATCGCTCCTCTCGCAGGCGGAGGTCAGAGTCTCAGTATGACTACGAGGTTTACCACTCTCTGGAAGAGGTAGATGTGAAGCCCACCATCTGCCTACCTATCTCTCACTCTCCTCTGCTCTCTAATCTAATTCACACACAAAGTAAACAAACATCCTCTCTAAGGTGCTCTCAAACTCCCAATTACCCCATTCCACAGGTCTCTCTCCCACTTCCTCATGCTCTCACTCACAGACACACACTCTACTTCAGACACTTCACAGCTTTAGAGTGTTTATTTTCCGAGCTCGATCGGGCTCCTGGTTCACGAATCTGTCAGGCCCTATGAATCAGCATGAATTCCACACGCACACACACATCCTGAGAACCTACACAAATCTTTAGTCCTCTGATCCTCTCCTTCACTGTAAAACACACATGCAATGGCTTATAAGCTTTTCCCTCTATCTCTTTCTTCACTTTACTATTTTTCCACATTTACTCTTGAAAACTTGAATACTTGAATGACATTCCCTCTTCTGCATTATTTTCTGCCCTTAAGATCCAGACCTGGATGTTTGAGATGAACAGAACTAACTCTGACCTAGTTAACATGTTTTCCGTCGGGAAGTCATACGAGGGAAGACCGCTTTATGTGCTTCAGGTAAGAGAGAAAGCATGAGACACCCACATGAAAAATGACACACAGCACGCTCATGCTACTCCAAAACTGACAGAACTTCTCTCCTGTCAGATAGGAAAGAGAAGCCATCATCAGAAGAAGGCTGTTTGGATTGACTGTGGCGTCCATGCCAGAGAGTGGATAGGTCCTGCCTTCTGCCAGTGGTTTGTCAAAGAGGTAGTCTTGTTTTTCTACTCTGCGAATTTAAATGTTAAATAACTATGTGAACTTGGATTGCTTGCATCAATGCATGTTTCAAAAGTGAGCATATATCTAAATGATCGCCTGTAGCAAGCAGTCTGTGATGTTTGGTATCCAACAAAACATGAACATCTGTTCACTTGTCAAGCACAGCTATTCAAATACTTAAGAATACCCTTTATTGTTCAGATGTTGAACATAACCCAGACGTTTACACAAGTTCCATCACGCCTTAGTTAGTACCCTCTGCTGTGAGGACGGTACCAGACCAGATCCCGACATTAACTGCAAGAATCTTTAATGGCTAGTTTTATACTACTTAGATGCCAGATGGGTGGGATTTGCAACACCATGAGTGCCAGAACATTAGGATAATTAAAGGAAAGTCTATGAATATCAAGAGCCACAGCCTATTTTAAGAAAGTCTCACATGATAAACCTTAACTGGAAGGTATGTTAAAACTGCTTAAACAAATGCTGCAAATATTTAAAATCAAATGAGCTTCAACATGTGCCACTATAAAGTAGTACATGCACATTCAAAAGCTTGTCTAGGGTTTACTGGGCCATACCATTTACAAAACACTGTTTTGTTGTGCTCTACAGTCACTCTGTTTGCAGACACTTCTTCAATTGGCCTTCAGCCTTCACTTTTGTTATAGCTTATCATTGAGAGACAAACGACAAATACATGACTAATTCACCTTAGGATATTACATGGATTTATACGTTCTGTAGGGAATTCTTCAAAGAAGGATAAAGTAGGAGTAGAAAGTGAGTGAATAAGACCAACAGCAGCAGGAAATCAGAAACAGAGTGGCATAGAAATAAATAAGGGCAGAAAAGAAACAGGGAAACATTTGACTCAGGAAAGCAGTCAAAGATGCTCCACTTGGTTCAAATGTGAATCCACTGTAATGTAGTAACTTAGTTTGGCCACTGGAGGTCAGGGTGCCATCTCTACATAAGGCTTTAAAGCACATTAACCTTGAGTCTGATTAAAGAGCACCTATAAGCAGCATTAGCCCAGTGCCCAGATCTCCTCATGCCAATCCTCAGCTATATTCAGAGTATTAACCTACTGCAGTTGTGCATTTAAAGAACTGTGATCGTGTGTGAGGTTACAAAATAATGAATATCTGTGTCATCGGTCAATGATCTGTAATCATACTGTTTTATATTAGGCCATCAACTCATACCAGTATGACTCTGTGATGAGACGACTGCTTAACCAGCTCAACTTCTACATCATGCCCGTCTTCAATGTGGATGGATATCATTTCAGCTGGACCAAGGTACTGTAGGTCTTTCACATACACAATACAGACTAAATCATGCTGTTGCTGACTTCAATTTTTAAACAGTTAGAAGTTTTGAATGTTTTCTTAGAGGGGAAGCCTGCGTTTGTATCATTATGCAGCTCTTATCTCTGTACAAGTGCCCCTCACCTACTGTCTACATATCTGCTGTTAGTAATCGATCAACAGGAGTGAGTGACAGATGGATTATTTTGGAGATGACAGGTAGCTCCATTTGTTCGATGAGTCTGACAGTCAGTGGACATGCACAGTGACAGTGTCTTCATTTATTCCTTGTAGGATCGGTTCTGGAGGAAAACGCGGTCCAAAAATCATAAATTTCACTGCCGAGGAGTGGACGCTAACCGAAACTGGAAAGTGAAATGGTGTGGTGAGTTTGATAACACTGAACTCCAGCTGAAATCTGAGGAAAATCAACTGAATCTCTCTCCCTCTCACGTACAGCACACGAGAGACACGCTGCAAAATTGGCAAGGCTCTCCTCGTAGTCTGTTGCTGATGTAGTCTTTTCCGTCTATTAATCAGTGTAAGCTGTGGATAAAATATTTGTGTGGTGACAACAATCTGTGCTTGATGTCATTTAGTCTCTGGTGGGAGGTGGTGGGGAGGTTCTGCTGAATCATCATCACTCTGGGAGGGCTCGGAGACTATAGCAGAAATATTTGTGGTACCTTCAGACATACAGAGATGTGATTTGAGTTGAGAAATTGAGCAACCAAGTTTTGCCTCCGCAAAGAAATATTAGCTGACAAAATGGGCTATTTGGGTACTTTAAAAGCTTTTCTTTAAGGGAACCCGCTGTCAGTGAAAAATATGTATTTGGTAATAAAACAAGAGAGAAAGGGAAGTACAGTAATATATTTGCCAATGTTGTTTGGCAATGATGTTTATGTAGCCATGCAGCATATGAGAATGTATACATATGAATTGAATTTTAACACAGAAAAGACTACTGCAGAGATTCTGCCTGACTAATCCATACTTAATTACAATATTCACCACCATATTGCTTCTACTATATATAAATAGGACTTATTTCTAGAAGACTTGTATTTATAAGCATCAATGTAGCATGTAATGGGACTGCACTGCAAATACACCTAGGGTTTATTAATAAGGAATTAATTACGCCTATTTTTTTTCTTTAAAGGTACATTATTTTTTATCTTATTTCAGATGAGAGTCACACCACAAGTTCAGGTTTAAACATGTGAGGATCTTTTTCAGCTCTTTCTGCTTTAAGTTAAACCTTTCAGAACAAGTCAGGTCTTATCAGCAGGTTTATGTTTATTTTTGCATCACTTATTCATATCATTCAAAGGTTCATACATTGATGTTCAGTGTTCCAAGCACAAAACATGCTAATGCATGTGTGATTGAGGAAGTGATATGGGCGGTGTGCTTGTCAGAATTAACCACAATCCTCTGTTTCTATTGGTAGGTCTTGGCAGTGGGTTCAGTGTTTCTCCAAAGCATTTTGGAACCTTATTGCCTTTGGCTTCTGTTGTCTTTGGCATTATAATGTGCTGTGGAGATTTCAGTGGTGTGATTACAAGAATGGCTTCTTTTTCCTCCTTTCCTTCCCCAGAGGAGGGTGCCTCCTCTCATCCCTGTGATGACACCTACTGCGGTCCCTTCCCTGAGTCTGAACCTGAAGTCAAGGCTGTCGCCAAGTTTTTGCGCAAGCATAAGAAACGTGTCAAAGCGTATATATCCATCCATGCCTACGCCCAAATGCTGCTTTACCCCTATTCCTACAAGTATGCCACTATCCCCAACTTCAACTGCGTGGTAAGAGATTTTCCAGTAGCCTGCTGCATGATTGTATGTTAGAGTTACTTAACTTAAATCCTACTGTGAAGACATATATAGGAACACTTAATGAGCTGGCCTTGTGTTTTCACTGTCCAGGAGTCAGCTGCTCATAATGCAGTGACAGCCCTGTACTCTGCCTATGGAGTGAGGTACAGATATGGACCTGCCTCCACAACTCTCTGTGAGTAATGTTCTTTCTCTTCACTGCATCTTCCAAGTTTAGAAAAAGAAACAGAAAAGAGGATTTTTCATGACTTACTTTTTGTTTTGTCCTCTCCTTCCAAGGACAAAAATGGATCCTTATTCATGTTATGAAGTGCCAGTTTAGTGTTGCACTCTGTTTGCTGTATGTCCCCCCCCTTGTGAGGAGCTAAATGTAGAGAAGTTTCACCAGTAAGAATAAAATGCTTTCAGGATCACCTAAACTTGAATCAATTTGTTGTCAGCATTTGCTTAAGAAATAGTTGTACTTTAATGGTGCAGTTGGTAAAGGTGGACCTAATGTTAACTACTTCATATGCCTTGTGGTAGTTTCATAGAAAACAATGCATCATATTTTATAAACTGGTCCTGTGCTGTATGTGTGTAAAATCTCTGGAGCAAATGTACTTGTGCCATGCAAACAACCACTGGCATTGGTACTGATTTACATTTCTTAATGCTTATATAACAAAATACTGTGCTAAGCTTTTCTCATTCTGTTTGATGAACTTTTTTTTTTTTTTACAGATGTCAGCTCAGGCAGCTCTATAGACTGGGCCTACAGAAACGGGATCCCTTATGCATTTGCATTCGAGCTGAGGGATACAGGATACTATGGCTTTCTCCTGCCCGAATCTCTGATCAATCCGACCTGCACTGAGACTATGAGGGCAGTGAAGGCCATTGCATCAGGTCTGCTGAAGAAGTGTGAGACGCACAAGGACAGATTTCCATATATATGACCGCACTGCAGCTCCACCCTCACAGTTACTCATCTCAACACCTCATAATCCTCTGGATTTCATATTCCTCCCAGATAGTATCAGGTGATGAGCTGACAAGAACCAGCAAAGCATGAATTTTAATTTGCTTTTCTTGTTTTTGAGGTTGTTCACCTTATTTCCTTTTTTCTGATAAGATATGAACTGATGGGGGTGGTGGTGTTTTTTGTGTGCCTATAACAACGAATCTTCTAAGTGACCAGCCTGTTTAAGATCCCACATACAGTGTCAGAGAGCATCCTGCTGGATCAGTGGGCAAACCCTGTGTCCTGAGCTTGAATCCTTTCTAGCATGTAATCCTCGTTCCCTAAATGTTTCTCTCCACTTAAAAATATGTGAGTGAATGGTGGTCATGTGAGCACTTGTCATAATACAGCAGCACTTTTTTTTTTTAAAAAAGAAACGATTAAAAGATTTTAATGTCTTCCGAAAGATTTGTTTTGTTTAACAAACTTTTTACAAGAACTGTTTTTAATGACTATAACCCTATCTCTATTTTTATTCTGGTTGCTTTTTATTATTATGAAATAAGCCCTACCAAGTGCCAGTTTAGATGCTAATGACTATAATGTTAATGTATTAATGCCTTTATTACTGCAACATTGTTGGTGTATATAATATGCTATCACCTGACAGTCTTGGGTTTGGTTTAAATTGAGATGTTTTTTGTTAGATGTTTTTTTATTTGGAAAGAATGACCTGTCACTTCAGTAGCTTACTGTGTCATTACTCAGGTATGGATCAATGACAGAAGTCAGAAATGTTTACTTTTGACAGCTTAAGTGCTTATTTTGAGATTCTAATAAATGTCTGACTTGAATAAATGTTGTTATATAACACTGAAAGGTTCATGTTGTCGCATTAATCCCCTGTTTACATCTCTACTTGATCTGTTTTTTCTATTATGGCCATGTCTGTATATGTTTTGTACACATATTAATAAGGAGGTTTGATAATATTATTTTAGTCAAGTGATTGACTCTCTGACCTATTTCTAAAAGGACAACTTTAAGCACAAAACTTTAAATCAAGCTCTTGCTTTTAAACATCCTCCTCTTTTTCTTTTCTGCTCTTCATTTCCAGCCTCTGATTCTGCAGCTCTGCTCTTATTTATGGATCCAGAAATGGTGAAAACTGACACATAAGACATCCCAAAGTGAAAGTGAACTCTGCCGCCCACAGCTGCCAAATTTGTGTTGTCAAATTGCCAGAATTCCAGGATGTATTTTCTGTTGAACTTTGCTAAATTTTACCTTAAAGCAGTGTAGCAATACTAAATGTGAGTGCACACTCAGATAAGGTGAATAATTAAGCAATGTGATGGTAGGATTAAACAAAGGTACAATGATATTTGCAGCGTAACACTTTGCAGCACTTCTCTACATAATTGTCAATAAATGAGAGGGAAGTGGGGACAAAATGTGAATGGTTCATATTTTAGAAGAAATAAAGTGGCCATATATAGGACTAATTAAATGTAAGGAAAATATAGACCCACCACCCAAACACAGGACTGTAACCTGCAATCACTCCCGAGCTGATTGACAGGTCTTTTATTGGACTAGACCAATAATCTGGGTTATTCATATTTTAATATGATGTTTTTTAATCATATTAAAGAGAGAATCTAATTTCAGGCAACCGGAAAAAGGCTGTTTAATAAATATGAGTAAGAAGATTCACCAGAGAAAAATGCTTATTTGTCTTCTAAATATAAAACTTCTATCTGTTTTGCAACTATAATTTCGCTGTCAAGATGCTTTATTTTATGTATACCACATATATACACAAATTCAAACACTTACAGTCCTCACACACATAAGAACTAGATCATGTAGCATACATATATGTGGGAAAGTGACATGTTTTATTCAGCAATCCTGCTCACATCTGGTTTAATGAATACCATGCATATATTAATGCCAGTTAGTTTACATATGAGTTTAATAAGCCCGTGTTCTGTGAGTTAACAGTTAAAGCTGTAACTCATGACATCCCTCCTCTCTCTCTCTCTCTCTCTCTCTCTCTCTCTCTCCCTCCCTCTCTCCCTGCTGCCTCACTGCGGCCGTCCTCAAACGTACGTGACGTCGTTTCCTCTCTCTCCAACATGGCGCAGGAGGCAGGTCGTTAATGGAAATCTGAGGGATTTACCCCACCTTCATGTGTTTATTTATGTTTGTCTGTTAGGGGCTCTGCGGCTGACATTTCTAAAGGAATACATCTCTATTCGAGGCGGCTGCAGCCCTCCCCTATCCCCCCCCTTTTTACCCCTTGGGACCAGGCACACCTCGCCCCAAATTCCGGTGCGACATGTTTGAGGGCAAAAAGACGAAAAACATGTTCCTCACACGAGCTTTGGAAAAGATCCTGGCCGACAAAGAGGTGAAAAAGGCACACCATTCACAACTGCGCAAAGCCTGCGAGGTGGCACTGGGTAAGTTACGTTGTTTTAGCATCACGTTTTCTTTCTTTTCTTTTTAAAGCTGTCTTTGGACTCATTGATTTAGACACGTCATGCGTCCTTTCACTTATTAACCGGTTATTCTGCAACAGTGTCGCAGTGTTTTGGCAACACAGCGCCTCCTCACCCACCCCCCATTCATTAAAAGCTCCATGGTGATATCGCCTTATTGTCTTGTGTTATAATTCAACAAAAACCTGCGTATTTAATTGACGTGGCATGGGGCTCCGTGGGTATGATTCCGTATTAAACACGGAAATGGTGCAGGAGGAGGGGTTGGGTGTTTGCAACACCGATCCGATGCTGCGAAACTAGTAGCGATGTGGGAACAGGCCGGACACTGGACAGAAAATAAAGTTGTTAAGGGCTGAATCCTCCTTTTATTAACAAGCTAATGCACAACCACACCTTATACACTCGTCAAGTGTCAACTATATTCGTCCAAACTGTTTAATTTGTGTGCGTTTGACTTCATAAAGGTGAGGTGTTTGTGTCTCTTCCTGGTACACAACACACGGTTAGCCCGTTCAGTACAGGGAGGTGTTAGAAGAGATATTTGTCTTTTAATTACATCTTTTATTTATTGGACTGTTTAATCATGGGTGACTCTTGGCTCTCGTCTTCATTGTTATGTTGTAAAAGTAGATGTGAAGTCGGGCTGGGGCGAGAAAAAAAGGGTGACAGCTGTCAGTAGCACCTTTTTTAAGCTAGGACATTTATCAAGCTAACGGAAATGATGAGGTGGCACTTCCGGTCAGAGCTAAAATAAAATTACAAATGAAGATACACGTGATAGTGACCAAAATACCAAATAATGAAAATACCGTAGTAGAAAAAAATGAATATATTTAAGAAATAATGCATGTGAAATTAAAGACTTTCGCTTCTTACGGCCTGTTTTTCCTCAACAATACCAAGACCACGTCAGCGATTTTCACGTTCACTGCGCTTTTATTTTGAAGTCAACATCAATGAACATCCGGTTTTACTTAAATTATATGTGGCAACTTTATGAAACTATTTGTTAGCAGGTGTATTTTCCGATACACGTCCTTAGGGGTGACTACTTATAATAAATATACAATTTAAAAGCAACTCAGACAAAAGAGAAGTTCACATATTATTAGAGCACATACATTTTTACATTTTTAACACCATAGCCAATGTTTCTTTTATCTCATGTCAGACTTTTAAAATATCTGTTCTGTGTCTAGGAACAAGCTGGGTTTTGTCCTGCAAAGGGAGTAATATGACACTACCAGAGAAACAATGAGTCCATGTTGTGCAGCAGCCAAACACCCTACCTGCCCCAACAGCTGCTGCCTTTATCAGCTCATTTAGGTTGTAGGGTTTTGCAATGGCCTTGGAGGCTAAATACACCAATTGTGTTTGTCTAGGCTTGCTCTGATGTTTCATAAAACCAACCCACCCTCTCAAATGCTATATTCCCCCCCCACTTTATTGTCTGTAGTGTGACGGGGGAAAAAAACTGAGTGCAATAGGCTAGCCTTCATTGAGAGAGTGGATTGAAAGGGACTAGTGCCGCTCCAGGAGAGTCAGTGTTATTTCTTTACCTGGGAATCAGAGCATAAAGACTTGAAGTGATGATCTCATCAGGTGAAACTCTTTGTCTGGTGCACGCGAATTAGTCACTCACCCCTATGGGTCTTTATTGAAATGTAGGTCATCCAACTGTGAATCATTTAAACAACCAATAAAACCGTAATGGCTGCTAACTGCGAGATAGCATCTTTTGCATTAGTTCCATTATCTACCGTTTATGGAGCCGCTACAAATTCACAGTGAATTCTGTTTTAAGGGTGTACTTTCCCTTTTTAAAACATTACATTGCAAAAAATTAAATAGTCATAATTAACTGCCGTTTTCAACTGCACACTGAGGCTCAGCCGTACACTACAAAATGAGAATCTTTGTGATGAGCGTAGCAGCCCTACAGTTGTAGTGCATATCAAAAACGACTGGGTGACCCAGTATACTGAGTGACTTACATAATCCCCTCCAGCTCTTGGGGCCCTGAGACATCTCAGGGAGAGTGCCTGTGCCAGAGTCTCCTCTTTGTTGTCACTGAAAGTTCTCCAGTTCTTCAGTGACACTGTTCAAAACGAGGTATTGTTTGAATCTTTCCAAAGTGGTGTTTTAATTTGGACTCAATATATGTAATGGAAGCCTATTTATTTTTTTAGTTGCAGCCCTCACCCAGTAGTGAATCACTGCAGGGTTTTAATGTATAGGAATGAGGCTCTGGCGAGGCTACATTTTCCAGACAGTCCACCCTCCTCACTACCAAACTGACCTTTCTCCTGGATTATCAAAATGTCACTCAGCAGTTTCCCAAAGAGAATAATACCATCTCAGTTTCACACACACTCTAAACTGCAGCAGTGCAGGGTCCTATTATCTTTGGATCACATCGTCGGCTTCTTTGAGAGGAGCTGTCTGTCTGATAGCACGGAAAGGGAAGAGGGTAAGACTGACAGCTAACTCAAAATATCAAAGTGCCTCGCAGTATATGCCCACCAACTCTCAGGAGTGAACATAGAGGCTTTGGTTCATTGCTGTCATGGCTTGCTAGCTTCATATGATGCTGCCTTTGTGGATGGTCCTATTAAAGCCAACCTGTCCTCTCTGACTAGACAAGTTCACACGGCTTTGTTGCTACTGAATAAACAGTCATACTGTGAATGCAACAAGCTAAATCAGGGTACTGGCTACCACTCTAATAGGAGTGAGAACTTGTTTCCAGGCTAGCAGTCACTTAAGGAGTCGAGTCCTGCTGAGCATGTTGCTCATTATCTCTCCCCATAGGGTGTATGATCTGATGGTCAGCTACAGAGGTCACAACAGCCTGTAAACGTGTTGCAGCTGCATTCTTGATGCCTCCCTTCAATTTTTGTCATCTACAAAAGCATATTCTGTTCATGTTCTGGAGACTGGAAAGAGAACTCCTCTGTGTCTGAAGCTTTGGTGTACACTTAACATGTCTTTTTGTCATCACAAGTCATTTTCTTTAAATTTAGTAGCCAATAGGTTGTAGTACAGACAAAATTAATATGGCGATAACATCGGGCTCTTGTCGACACATGCTTGTTATTCGTCATCAGGAACTTGTTTATTTCAGCTGTTTCATACTGGGCTGGTAAGGTACAGCTGGCTTGTCTGGGCTTATTTGGTGAAAAAATCTGCCTTTGGTTTAATATGGCTGCATGTGAGAGCAGTGTGTGAATTTTATTCCAGGAAGTTGTGTCCTTTGAGCAAACAGTATTGTTGTCAATTGGCTTGTCAGCTTGGTTGCTCGGAGATATTGACAGTTTGAGTGCCTGTGGTGTGTTCCTGATGGTCTGAGGGGTTTGACATTCATTAAAT